CGACTCTGTGCGACCCCATAGACGGCAGCCCACCAGGCTCCTCTGTCCCTGGGATTCTCCAGGCAAGAACACTGGAGTGGGTTGCCATTTCCTTCTCCAATGCGTGAAAGTGAAAAGTGAAAGGGAAGTCACTCAGTCGCGTCCAATTCTTAGCGACCCCATGGACTGCAGCCCACCAGGCTCCTCTGTCCATGCGATTTTCCAGGCGAGAGCACTGGAGTGGGGTGCCATTGCCTTCTCTGTGAGGCTTACCTAGTAAGATATAAACTTGGATGACAGCATTCCTAAACTGCCTCACCTGTGATTTACTGACCCAATGCCACCAGTCCCATGCCAACCATTTTCTGTGGCAGTCAGAACTCATACATACTGTAAGAATATAGATAACCAACCAGCTCCACCAGCCAATAGAAAGTTAAGAGCCCGAAGGATACAAAATCCCATCACCAATACCATATCCACAGTTCACAAATATGCAGAGGAGGAGAGAGAGAGAGAGAGACAGACAGACATCAAGAGACCAAGTTGCTAACTTGCTAGAAAGTCAAAATGCAAACTAAGTCCTCCAGCAATCATACTCTTGGGTACCCTACATAAGTGGAAAAAACATGTTTACATTAAAAACCTGTACAGGAATGTTTAGCAGATTTATAAACTATCCATGTGTCCTTCAACGGATGAATGAATAATGGCTAAACAAACTGTGGTACAGTCACATAGTGAAATGCTACTGAGCAAGAGCAACAGAAAGAAGTGACCAATACACCAGCAACAAAGATGAGACGCAAGGGCACTATGCTGCCTGAGAAAAGTGAATCTCAAAAGGTTACATACTCGGATTTCCTGGTGGTCCAGTGATTAGGACTCCATGCTTCCAATGCAAGGGCACAGGTTCAAGCCCTGGGTAGCAAACTAAGATCCCATATGTCCCACAGTGCAGCCAAAATACAGACAGTAACTTAAAAAAAGTAATAATTTTAAAAGTTGCATACTATATGATTCCATTTATACAATTTTTTCAAACTAGCAAAATTACAGTGATGAACAGATCAGTGCCTATGAGAGAATATGATTACTAAAAATTACAAGAGAAGTTACCTTGTGATGATGAAACAGTTCTGCATACTAATCATGGTGATGATATCACGAGTGATAACACTTGATAGAAATGCGCACATACACAGCGCATGTAAAAACTAGCAAAACCTTACTTAACAGTACTGTGTCCAAGTCAATTTTCTGGTTGTGACAATGTTCTAGGTTATAGAATATATTACCACAGGGGAAAGATGGACAAAGGGAACACTGGGAACTCTGTACTGTTTTTGCAACTTCCAGCAAATTATACTATTTCAAAATTAAAAGTTTTAATTTAAAAAAAGGTGTTAAAAAATTTTTAGCCAAGAAAGTTAAAAACACAAATATTCAACTAAAACACAGTATACCAACACAATAAAATGTTACTTGGCAACATAAAGGAATGAAATACCAATACACACTATAACACAGATGAACCTTAGAAATATTATGCTAAGAGAAAGCAAGCAGACAGAAGATCATATATTGACGATTCTATTTATATGAAACATCCAGAATAGCTAGCCTTATAGAAACAGAAAACAAGTTAGTGACTGCTGTGGGCAAGGGAGAATGGGAAGCAACAACTACAGGGTTTCTTTTTTGAGGCAATATAAATGTTCTGGAATTAGATAATAGTTGCACAACTTTGTAAATATATTTTTTAAAAAAGCAAATTACATATTTGAAAAACTAAACTTTTTAAAAATAAAATTTTATGATATGTGAATTGTGTTTCAAGAAAAAGTTGCACATGAGGAAAAAAAACTCTTTTACTCTTTAAATTAAAAAACTGTATACAGTTGCACAGGCCCCCAAAGCTAAAATCTATCGCAAGACATGTGTTTTATCCAATTCTTAAGGTTTTATTGGTGCTTGAATGACACTGTAGTTCTTCCCTGCTGCCTGTTACAAAGCAGCACAATTAACAATCAGCAAACTAAAATCAGTGACAATCTGACAAGCTAACAATCTCAGCTGAAATATCTTAATCTCATTTCTCACAACTACAAATACTAGCATTCTAAAAAAGGAGCCTACACGAAGTGGTTCAAGTCATAAAAACTCACAGAACTGAACTGAATTAAAATGAAGTGGCACTTGTACATACAAGCATATAATGATAAAGTAGATCATACTGAATCAAGCCAGGCCTATATAGTCATAAAATTCAAGCGTGCCAGTCATTATACTAATACAATTTAAAATTAGATCTATTACTCCCTCTCCTGCTCTGGAAAACTAAGTAAAAACCAAAAACATTGGGCATCTGGAGACCTGAATTTTGGTTCAAACTAAGCTAATTGTGTGACCTTATTCTCTATTGGAGCTGTCTGTAAAATGAGGAAAACCTCTGAGGCTACCAGTCTCCTGAAGTCCCTCCACCATCACTTCTCTCTCCACATCACTCAAGTCATCAGCGTCCTCCCCTATTACTACGGAAGGCAAGCTCTCAGTGTGTAGTTCTTCCCGCCACTCATGATCCACTCTCCACATTAACAGCCAGTATGCTTTTAAAAATAGGAAGCAGAGCCTGCCACTGCTACCTGTGTGCCTCTCAAGGGCCTACAAGGCCAGGCCCTACCCATCTCGACTCCTCCGAAATCACCATCCTCTCCAGTAGCATTCTAGCCACTCCAATCTTTGGGTTCCTCCGACATTCCTAGCCCATTCCTTCCCAGGGCCTTTGCCATACTCCCATCTTCTCTTTATTCTAAATTCTGTTCAAACGCCACCTCCTCAGAGAACTCAGAGTGTGCTCTGGTCTCAGTCTGCCTGGACTGAACTTAATAGCTGGACATGTTGTTTACTCATGCTATGTCTCTGCTTCATCTGTAAAGTGGTGGTAACTACAGTGTCTGCCTCACAGGATTATCACCAGGGATAGATACATGAAAATAGAGCAGCAAATTGACTGGCACAGTTTTCAAATGTTATCTGTCATTGTACTTAGGGCACCCCATCTTCACTTTCTATCTTCAAGACATTATCCAGAATCGTCTTCTTTGTCATCGGTTCTGAAGCCCCCAAACAGATAAAGCTTCATCAACTTTGCTTTTCTTGCTCAAAGCTCTACCAATGTATTCTAGAAAAGGCATACAAATACTTGTTGAATATATGAATAAAGCAATGATATCAAGGATTCCTTTAAAGTAATACTGCCATGATTCAAAGAATTAAGTGAAAAATGACACTGCCTCAATCAAAACAGATATATATATTCATATATCCACCTACACACCCTCACACAAACAGCCATCCCCAAAACTAAGGGCATGCTTTTTTTCCAACTCCTTTTAACTTTTCTGAACAAAATGGGCTATGTAGAAGAAATGGTTAAATTTCAAAGTCGTGACCAAAACTCAAGAGCCACAACACTATAGTTCTCCTTACTTATGAGCTAAATTTCCAGAGGAAACCTCAAATATAAGATTGATTGATAGCGTTAATTTTTAAAGTACCTAAATCTACCAAATATCCACTGCGATTTAAAATCTTAAGAATTCAATTTTTACCCACCAATTTAAGCCCTTAATAAATATGTTTTCCTCATTCTAGTAGTAGGTTTGTTTGAGGGCAGGGTGCTTGTTTTTAAGAAAGGCGTTATTATACAGGTATCAACATTTTGTGACATCCTGAACATACGTTCAAGTAAACATCATGATACATCACATCAGTAATGACTTAAGGAGCTTTCATAGACGCCACCAATGGTTATGAAATTCGCTAGACAGACACCAAAGTGAATGGGAAGGGGAAAAGTCTAAGACGCTGCAGGCTAGTGCCCCAAAGAAAACAAACCAACGAGAAATGCTTCGTGATTTTATTTAAAGATGATCACAGATTATCCCTATAATACCAAAAAACCACAGGGTATTTCTTGCTCAAATGGAAGAGTGTAGCCACAAATCTAGGAGGAGGAGTAAAGATTCTGAACGCTAGTAGATTCTTCAAAATGAGGGGGGAAAAAGGGAAAGGAGACGCGGCGGCGCTCTGCGGTCTCGGAGCAGCTCTCCAGGAAAGGCTTCCCGGGCGCCGGCCGCTCCCACTCCGGTCCGCGGCCAAGCTGGAGGTGGCTGGCGGCTGGCACGTTTGAAATATCACCACCCTATTCATCTCCTCCCGGCACAATGAGGGGCTGGGCAGCCGCGCCGGGGACCGCCTGCGCACACGCCCACCCGCCCCGCGCAGCCCAAGACCCGGGCGCAGCCGCGGCTCAGCGAAGTCACGCTCGGCCCGGGCAGAAAGTTTCGGGGGGAAAAAAAACACAAGCGCCTAAACGCACAGGTCTCGGAGCTGAATTCGCGCCAGGAACACGCCCGAGGCAAACCACTTGACAACCAGCTCGGGTTTTCAGCAAAAAGGCCGAGAGGCGGGGGCCGAGGAGGAAGAGGAGACAACATGCATACACATACATACATACATACACACACATACACATACACATACACACACACACACACACACACACTCGCACTCGGCTCCTCTTCCTCTAGCGCCCCGGCGCCCAGGTGGGAACGATGCCGCAGCCTCACACCCGGACGCGGCGCCGGACGCCAGCGCCCCTTCCTGGAAGGCCCGCGACCCCCCGGCCAGCTAGGAGGGCAAGGGGAGGGTGCGCACGCCCTACGCCCCCTCGCCCGTGCGCCCCTGACGGCCGCGGCGACAGGAGGCCGGAAAGGCCTGGGGTCCGGGGATGCTCAGCCGGCCGGCCGCGGGCTCGCGTGCGCCCCTCCCCCGCCCTCCCGCCCCTCCCCCCGGGCCGCCCGCGGGGCGCGCAGGAGGCGAGCGCCGGCGTCCCGGGGGATCAGCCCGCCCGCCCACCGGCTCCAGGAATCCGGGCAACTTTCCCCTGCTCGGTCGCGGGCAACCCCCGACAGGGCGGGAGCGGGCGTCTGGGGACTGGCGCTATGTGGACTCACTTTTTCGGATGTTTCTCCCTTTTCGGCCTCCGCTTTCGGGCCTGAATGGCCAGCACTGAGGAAAGAAGACACACATTAACGGTCGGGCAGGCCGGCCTGCGGGGCCACGTGGCGGGGAGGAGGGGACGCCGTGGGCCACTCACCTTTCCGGGAACTCATCCCGACGCGGCGCCAGAGGGGCGGGGGGCTTCGCGGCGGCGGCAGCGGCGGCGGCGGCAGCGACGCGGGAGCCAAGCCGAGCTGCAGCCTTCACTCGCTCCGCCGGCCGGGAGGAGGCGGGAACCGCGCCTGCGCCGCCGCCGCCGCCGCCGCCGCTCCCGCGGGGGGCCCAGAAAAACCCGCCCCCGGCCGGCCCCGCCCCCGCCCCCACTCGCCGGGTGGGGTCGAGACCCCCGTGCTGGTCCCTCCCGCGCGCCCCGCACCCGCGCGACTTGCCCACCTGTGCGGAAGTGACCCCCCCCCCACGACCACCGCCACTCCCTCCCACGCCGCCCCCGCTCCTGCCCGCCGCCCGGGCCTCCGCCTCCGGCGCCCCCGCGGCTGGCCCCGGCCTCCTGCCTCTCCCCGGCACCCGGCCCGCGCGGCCCTCCCTCTGCAACCTCGTCCTCTCCCCTACCCACCCCGGCGGGTCGCGCCACACGTCTCTCCATGCGCTCTGCCCTGGCCCGCGCCTCCGCGGGTCTCACACCACCTTTCCTCACGCGGCCTCTTCTCCCTCTTTGCTCCTCTACATCCTTGCATCCCCATGAGCGCCGCTTCCTCCTCTCTGGCGGGTGTGGAAAGGGCACAGGACCAAGAGCTGAGAAACCTGGGTCTTTCACTAGCTGTGTGACCTTGGAAAAGTCATTTTATCTCTCATCTTTACCTACCCCACAGGATTGCTTGAGTGTAAAGGAGGAGAAGATGCAAACAGTAGGATTAAGTAGGATTAAGCTTTTGCACAGGAATTAAAAGTCCAGTTCAATAAATACCATGTGTATAACAATTTTAACACAAGCCACCAAGGAGTTATTCCTTACTAAGAGGAAATTGACTCCTGAAGAGGTTAAAGACTTTACCCAACAATGATTCAAATTTAGGCCTAGCTGACTCTAATCAACTTGACTGGGGAACAAAATGTTTTTGAAAGATACTCATCCTGATCATTTACTCTGTCAATTGTATTCTTAACTCATCAGAGGAGCTAGTTGTATTTTAAAGATCTTTAAACCAACCGGAACAGCGCTGCTTGAACTTAAAGAGCTTTTTACAATACTTTCTTGACTTTTTATTTTAAAAAATATCAAAAGTACAGAAAAGTTGAGAATAGTGAACATCCGTATTAACCCATATTCACCATTTTTGAACATTTCCCCAGATTTTCTTTCCCTGTGTGTGTGGAGGGGATGTGTTGTTTATGATAAATCATTTGAGTTTTTTGTAGACTTTGTTACACTTTTCCCCTAAATATTTCCATGAGTATCTGCTAAGAACAAAGATAACTCTCCGACTTAAACATAATTCCATTATCGCTACAAGAAAATTTAGTCTCATTATAAGTAACATACAGCGGCCATATTCAAATCTCCAAAATGTCGTTTTTAGTGGACCTTTTTCTCAATCTGGAATACAGTCAAAGATCATGCATTACATTTAATTGCCATGTCTTTTTAAGCTCCTGTAGTCTAGAATAATCCCTAGTTTTGTTTTTTGCTTTTATAACATCCACTTTTTTTGAAGAATTGTTTGCAGGATGTTGTTCAGTTTGTATTCATCTGCTCCTTATTAGATTCAAGTTAAATAATTTTGTCATCTACACTAAATAGATGATATCAAGTTCATTTTAGTATACTGCATCAAGAGGGATACAATGTCTATACTATTATTGGTGATGTTACATTGTAATCATTACTCCATGGTAAAGATACATTTTTTTCCTTTGTATTTAAAAAGTAGTCTATGTGAAAAATGGGCAAGAGACTTATTAGACATTTCTCCAAAGAAGATTAACAAATGGCTAATGGGTACATGAAAAAATGATACATCAACATAAAATGATGTACAGCATCATTAGACAGATGAAAAGTAAAACCAAAATGAGATAGCACATCACATCTACAAGCATGACTATAATTTTTTTTGTAATGAAAAACAAGTGTTAGGATAAAGACACATTGGAATACTCATACATTAGTGGTGGGAATGTAAAATGGTGTAATCACTGTGGAAAATTGTTTACCAATTCCTCAAAAGCCTAAATATACAATTATCAGCAGTTCCACTCCTAGGTTTATATCCAAAAGAATTGAAAACAGGCATTCAAATCCTTGCACACAAATGTTCAGAGCATCACTAATCACACTGGCCAAAAGATTAGAAACAACCCAAATATCCACCAGTATATGAATGGATAAACAAATTGTGGTATTGACATACAATGAAATATTTTTCAGCCATAAAAAGGAATGAAGTACTGGTAAATACTACAATGTGGATGAACCTCAAAAACATTTATGCCAAGTGAAAGAAACCAGACACAAAACGTCATCTAGTGTTCTATTCCATTTATATGAAACATTCAGAATAAGCCAATCCATAGAAAGATTGGTGATGGTCCATGACTAGGGGGAGGGAAAGTAAGGAGCAATTTGCTCAATGGATAAGGGGTTCTATTTTGTAGTAATAAAAACGTTTTGGAGTTAGGGAAAGGTGATGGTGGCAAAACATTGCAAATGTACTAAATGCCACTGAATTGTTCTCTGTAAAATGATTAACATGTTTGGTGAATTTCACCTCTTTTGAAAAAAAAAAACTGGGGTAATACTTACAGAGACTGTGTAAGTATCCTTTTCCAAGAACCCTTCACTCCGAGGCCTAGCATCTATCCAAGATGTTTGCCTGAATCAATTATTACTATAACAGTTGGAGAATAATGATATAATCCTGTCCTTCCATCTATGGAATTAGGTGACATGCTTATGTAAGGAAGAGCTTTCACTTCTCCTGCCACCCCTTTGTTTTCTGTTTATTTTTGTCTTAATTTTTGTTTCTTGTCTTTAGTATCAGTATTGACAGTAATTACTAACTATCTCTTTGATTTTTGATTCTTGAATTGTCCCATATTTGACCAGGGAAGACGCTTTCAAATTTCAGTGTCTTTGGACATGTTCCAATCAGTTTCTGAGCACCTCTTTACTTTCTGGCACAAAATGTTCCAGGAAACCTTGTGCTATCCCTAACTGGGTCTTCAGAACCAGTCTTTTCTCCAGTTTTGGTTCCTAAAGAAATCTGAGTTTGAAACCACTTTATTCTTTTTAACAGCTTTATTAAGAAATAATTCACATATCATATTATTCACCCACTTAAAGTACAAAATTCAATGTTTAATAATATATTCACATGACTGCACAGCCACCACCACAATAATTTTAAAGCATTTTTGCAACCCTGTAAGAATCTTCATAGCTGTTAGCAGTCACTCCCCATTCCCCACAGCCTCCCTTTGCCCCACGTCCTAACCAACCACTAATCACCTTTCTGTCTCTATAGACTTGACTATTCTGAACAGATCATATAAATGCAATTCTACCATATTGTGACTGGCCTTGTAACTGGCTTCTTTCTCAGCTTAATGTTCAAGCAAATCTGCGGCTTAATTTTGCATAACCTTGGGTATGTTATTTAATCACAACATCTGGAAAACAGTAATAATATCAATATCAATCTTCCCAGATCAATATGATAATCACATAATCAATAGATGGCAATTATCAGGAACATTATTTGGGAGACACATACCCAATCTGCTGGATCTTTTACATTCATTTATTCAACAAATACTTATCAAATACCTGTCATATAATAGACATTATTCGAGATATGAAATTGACAGCATAGAAAACACACAAAAATCCTGCCTTCATAAAGCTTACATTCTACAGCCACATGATAGAAAATAAACCCAATAAATATGCAAAATATATACTCTGTTTACCAGATGGTAATAGCATCTAGGAAAAGAAAAAACAGTAACCTGTTGGGATGGTGTTTAGGAAAGATCTCACTGAGGAGGTATGTGTGGGTGTTAGTCACTCAGTCGTGTCCAACTCTTTGCAACCCCATGGACGGTAGCCCTCCAGGCTCCTCTGTCCATGGGATTCTCCAGGCAAGAAAACTGGAGTGGGTTGTCATTCCCTTCTCCAGGCCTTCCTGACCCAGGGATCAAACCCAGGTCTCCTGCACTGCAGGCAGATTCTTTACTGCTGAGCCACCAGGGAAGTCCCCACTGAAAAGGTAACACTTATTTAAAGACTTTGAGGTGATTTTGCCAAAATAAATTAGAAGAGACCTACATTTGCCACTGAGAATATGAGTTTATTGAGTTAAAATACACCAACCTAATCATTAGTGAACAACTTTACATATATTAGATGCTTAAAGAATGATAAGTTATGAACCTCTCTCAATTTGGAAATAAAAGTTTCTTTGAGATGCATGAAAATTTAGAATAACATTTGAAGGAAATAAAAAAAGAAAGTAATAGAGTAGGAGTCTAATTTTTTCTACCATCATTTCTACATATATCAAATTAATTATGTGAATATTGTAATTAAAAGGGAAAGTATTAAAACTAGATGTAGGTTTCTATACCAATCCAAAATAAATGAAAAGGGTAGTACATACACATTTTTCCCCCATCTAGCACAATGGAATTCAATATGAAGACAGCATATTAGTTTTTATCAAACATAGGAAAAAAACAATGCTATAAATCCAACTTCAGTATTTCCAGGGAGAGTTACTGAATCATGATATATCTTAGAAGGTATATTGAGTACGTCATAGAATTGTAAATAGACTTGAGAGGTCAAGTAATTCATTTTGGGGCCTTTAGTGGATGAGAACCTAGCCTCCTTCTAAAAATTCCCCCAAACTTTTAAATTTTTAGGAAAGTTTCTTTATATTTAATCTACAGCTTTTATTATGAAGGGTAAGCCTGTCTCTTGTTATTTCATTACAGCATATTTCTCTGTGGCACTAGCACCATTATAACAGAAGTTAGTGTACAGAAAAATAGAGCCAAACTGTCGAAGTTCAAATTCTAGTTCTGCCAGTAGCTGGGTAACCTTGGACAAGTTTCTTAGTTTCTGCCTCTTAGTTTCAAGTTGCCTCAGTTTCCTGATCTGCAAATGCAGAGAGTAATATTACCTACCTTATACATTTGTTGTGAGGATTAAATGAGTCATTTCACATAAAATGCTTAGAGAAGGATCCAAGTGTCCCCCCACAAAATTAGCTATTTACATTTATATGCACATTAAGATGTGTATTACTTATGTTCTGCTGCATAACAAACCTCTCCCAAATTTAGCAACTTAAAACAACAAGAATTTATCATCTCACGATTTCTGTGGTCCAGGAACTTGGGAGCAGTCTAGCTGGAAAACAACGTCATCTGGGGCTGCAGTCATCTGGAGGCTTGAGGAAGGCTGAGAGATCTGTCCCCAAGGTGGTTCACTAGCATGGCTGTCGGCTGGCCGCCTCCGGTCCTTGCTGGCTGTTTTGGAGAGGCCTTACTCCCCGCACCTGGATCTTTCCATGGGTCTGCTGGAGTGTCTGCCTTCCCCCAGAGGGAGTGGACCCAGAGACAGCAAGGAAGAAACTGTAATGC